GTTTAGTTGCTTGGCCTTTATGCCTATTTGATAAAAAAAGTGACAGGACTATAGGTGAATTATTGTCAACTCATTATTTGACAACCTATATATATATATATGTGTGTGTGTGTGTAATTATTGAACTTACTTATATTTCTTGATTAGTTAAATTAAACGCGGTTGTGAGGATGTACGCCATACGACGGGTGAAAGCTTAGTACGTTTTCACAGGAATCGGAGGAGATTGCCTCGGAAACAGCGTCAACAAGAATTGTAAAGCAAAACCAATCGACAGACAGAAAGAAAACTGCATTGTCTACTGGAGGGATCGACTTTCAAATCTATTCATCAAACATTTTCGTTCGAAATGAAAGTAAGCTCAACAATTATGAAACAAGAGATTCCTCAAAACCCAACTTTTCTTCGCATATATATGTGTAATGTAAGGGAATAACTATTTTATTCAATAAGTCAGGCCTTGCATTATTTGGTGATAGGCAGTTAAGCCGTAATTGAGCTTACTTCCATTTCGAGTGAAAGTGTTTGGTGAAGAGATTCGAAGGTCGATCCCACCATAAGACAACGTTGGATTCCTCTTGACCAGCTGTATATTGGCTTTATTAGAACATTCTTGTAGACATTGTTTTTGAGGTAATGTCCTTCGAATAGGATGAAAACGTGCCAAGCTTTCGTCCGTCGTATGACGAACATCATCAGCGTATCATCATTACAACCAAATTAAGGCTGAATCAAGTAAACTCACCGACTCAACTCTAAAAAGCTGTATATATACTCTATATCTGACTTCTTTGATGAGGTATAAAATGTATATACGAGTAACTGGGGTTTCAATGAATATCTTGATATAACATTGTTGGGAGGACCTCGTTTCGGATGAAAACGGGCTGAGCTTACGTGCATCAAATGATGGACATAATCAGAGCTGAAACTCATTCTTGTAAAAGTCTTAAATTAATACTAGAGCAAGAAGACTATCCGGCTCTATCTTAGCTCTTATATAGACTCAATTAGGTGAAAGAGAATTGAAAAACATATATCGATACAGCATTGTGTGTGTGTTGGATTAAAGTTATTGAATTTACCTCCTAGCGGTTTATAGTAAAACCTTATTGGGATCTAAAAAGATGCTAACGAAATAAGAAAGAACAATGCATAAAGTAAAGGGTTAATGATGATTGGCTAAGAAAAGGATATGCTTATGAGACAAGCAGCTGGAGTACATATCAAATGACTATATACATTTTATCTTTGAATCGTAGATATGAAGGCCAAGATGGTGTGGCCTTCTGTTTGGTCGCAGTCTTCTTTAGCTTTATAGTGTTGGTTCTACCTTGTATTGACAACTTGATCTGGGCGTCAGAGAGACCTTATGAAACGTACCTAATCCCGCGCCCTCTGCCATTGTGTTCGTGATTTCCACCACTGAAACATTGGCTGGGTACATACCCAAAAGTTTCGCCGGCATCGTCAGTGAAAGGAGCCATCGTAAACACAGAATTAAAACTTATCAAAGTGACAAGTGAAGGCAATCCCCTTGACCAATTTTCTGTTCAACCGTTGTGGCATTAATCCTTGCCACTATATTTTGTTATACCATCTAGTGCTGCATCTCTTTCTCTCAATCCCAATTATATGGCCAATCCACTTTTTAACACAATTCTGTTATCTCATTTATCTTTAAACCCTGGAACACAGACTAAAAGTCACAGACATATAGGTGGGGCCCGGCATAATTATTTTCGTGCATCAATTAACAAGGGAAATGAATACACAAATGGCAAACAAACAAAAGATAAGAGAACGAATTTATTTACTTGATTTTCGATGCTTTGTATCAGGCTGCGAACTGTCGGTCCAGTCGAGAGCACGCTGACATTGGGGCCACCAGGTGAAGTGTGTCGATGTTGATGAAATGCATAAGCTGGCATGTGGTAGGCAGCTCCAGTAGCCCCGGATGCCGATGAGGAACCCGCCTTTAGAACGGAAGCCACGACACCAGCAGAACTTGAAGAAGACAATAGTAAAGAAGTCCGGCGAGGCGCAAGCGCACCGCTTGTCAATGGTGTACTTGGTTGGATAGCGGAATTAACAGAGGTGGCGGCTGCCGCAGCACTATTTACTCCTGCTCTTGGGGACCGGCCCAGGCCGCCGACAGGACTGGTGGATGCGACGGAGATGGAAGAGATAAGGTTGGTGGTGTTGTGGGAGCTAGCAGCTATAGTGGCAATTGAACTCGAGGATACCGAAGAGGCGGTTGCACTAGTGGCAACGGATGCAACGACTGTAGGACTCAAGGCAGGAACAACGGACCCACTGGAGCAAGTTCGACCAGCCTGAGATGTGGTGATGAAGCAGCCGACCGGCCTGGCCTGCCAGGCTGTCTCGGGAGTTCCTGGCCCAGGACTAGCCGAAGGAGAGCCGCTTGTAGTCAGAGAGCAGGGCGAGCTGGTTATACCACTTGCCGATGGTGAAGAATTGCAAGAAGATTTGCTTTGAGTATGGAGGCGTTGAAGCTCGCCGCGGAGTCGAGTAGATTCATCGGTTAGCTTCTTAGCCTTTGGAGTACAAAAAATAAATGAATGCACCATCCCAACTAAGCAGAAAAATGGTTGATCTAGGCAATAAACATGTTATCAAGAAAGAAAACTGAATCAAGATGAATTGGGAGGAAAGTGACAAATATGCTAATATATTTCTCTCGAATTCATCTTTAATTGCCCATTTATAATATTCAGATTTGGTCGGGATGAATCATGCTGCGATTCTGACACTCACTATTGCTATATAATGCAGTCGCAGACTAAAAAGAGATCTAAGCTTATCTGGTTTCATTGAAGATACGAAGACCAAGATGTTGTGGCCTCTGGTATGGTCGTAGTCTCCTTTCGATTTATAGAAGTGGATTGACCCCGTTGTCGCAACTTGGTCTTGTTGAGACGATGCCGGCGAAGTGTTTGAGAATGTACCAAGTCCACTGTCTGATGCTGGGAATCATGACAACTTATCTGGTTTCGTTCGAATTTTGGGTTTGAAATTTGCCAGAAGTGGACAATTGCTAACGCGATATCTATCACCAATCCCCACTTTCGGCTCTGATGACGAACGTGAAGCTACAGTAGGGTCAAATACCAAGAACTGCTTATTTCTTCATTTATAAAAGACAATACAGATTTTTTTTACCAATTTGTTCATTTTAGAACAAAATTACGTAATTTTTCTCCATTGTGTAAGTATACTAATGCAAGTTCACAAAGGCAAGTCAACAAAAGTTTGTTTCTATTTACTGACAATCAAAATGGCTCAATATTAGGTATAACCACATTTTGCCTTAATTACCGCATGCATTCTGTCTAGCCTCGATTTCTAGTATTTCTTGCAGAATTTGGGGATCCATATTATTCCAGCACTCTTTTATAAATCTCAGAGAGTGTGTAAAAGCTATACTATCTTTATCTGAATACCTAAGGGTAAACCATTGAAGTAGGATTTCCAAACAATGCATTGATTACAGTGATTACAAGGAGGAGCAACAATGGTAATGGACAATAGACAGTACACAGAGAAAATTGAAAGTGCCCTAGATGACAAGAACATTTATCAAATACTAAGGGAGGATCCAATCATGAAGAGCAACGGGATACTAAAGGATATGCTGAAGGCATTACAACAGAGAAATCAACATGGATGATGAATTCGTTAAGTAAAAATAACACAAGACCACCGACAGCCTACGGACTATCAAGGGCACACAAAGAAAGAAAACCTCTAAGATTAGGAGTAAACAAAAAGCATAGAGCAACGCACAAATTATAGAAATTTATTTGTTTGAAGCTCAAGAAAGTAGATGACACACTCTCGAACGCCGTGAAGAAGCATTGGACAGGCGAGGACAAAATTATTGGTAAGTTTTGACGCATAATCCATGTATGCAAACATCTCGGGCGAGAAGGCGGTAGGCTCACTGCTGGAGACAAAGTGGATGAGTCGTTAACATGACTGATCAGCTTGATAGTAAGGACGACTTATCTTACATTTAACGGCAATATCTATGCAAATATTTGTACTGCCCATTTGATCTCTATTCTCACCTCTTTTGGCAAATGTATACATGGGAATTCGAGAAATCACCGCTGCAGCCAAGGGTGCTTATGCGATACTTAGATGACTACTTGACACTTTGGTCGTATGATAAGAAAAGCTAAAAGGAATTCCTCAACTTTATAAACCAATTTGATGAACGAACAAAATTTACAATGGAGGTGGAGGAGAATGAGCGACTACCTTTCCTGTATTTTGAGGTAATTCTTTCGAACTGAATACTCAAGAGTAGACTATTCAAAGAGAAATCAAATGCGGGAATAATCCTCAATTCTTAGTCTCATCACAACTACGGACTGAATATAGGAATACTAAGGAGCTTGATCATCCAAAGTTTAAGCTTAACGGACACTGAGTTCTGGGACGAGGAGTTGGATAAACTAACTCGGATTTCCTTTACTAAGGGGTACTTTAGAGCATTTATAGAAAGAAATATAAAGGTCATAAGAAGCAGATTTCAACTACGATTTAATGGAAATAAGATCAGAAATCTGGAGGACGACAAGAAACGGATATGCCTGCCATCCCGCGAACTGAGCCAGAAATTTGCGACCATTGCTAAGAGAATGAAATATCAAGGTTGTAACCAAGGAAAAGACAACACTCTTCACCAACCTGCAGACGCAACACAAGGAGGTTGATAAAGTCGATTGCTCGGGAATTTATAGCCTCAAACGCGGCAACCGTGCAAAGTAAATTAGTGAAACTGGAAGAAAAATCAACCAATGAATCAAGGA